GGGGGGGGGGGTATAAAGCATGATGCCCATTCACAGGCGGATTAAACACGTCTATGCAAACCAATATTATGCATTACTTAGGAGGGACCTCTGGCAATATCTCCATATGAACATGTAGAGAGAGGAAGCATGAATACGTGTAGAGTCGTAAGAGTGGGAAGTACTGAGTTCAGGAAAGTGGTTAGGGGTTCGGGAAGGGGCTGTGATTGAGAAAGCGTCCACAGGAACTTTTAAGTGCTTGGGTAAGAAAAATAAAATAAAATAAAATAATAAAATAAAATAAATAAAATAAAATAATAAAATAAAATATAAAATAAAAAATATTTAAAAATATAAAATAAAATAATAAAATAATATAAAATAAAATAAAAATTTTTTTTTTTTTTTNTAATAAAATAAAATAAATAAAATAAAATAATAAAATAAAATATAAAATAAAAAACATTTAAAAATATAAAATAAAATAATAAAATAATATAAAATAAAATAAAAATTTTTTTTTTTTTTTATTAAAGCATAATGGACAAAAAATTTATTTCTTAAGCTGCATGGCAGATACACGGTTGTTCTCCGCACTGCTCTTTACACCTTCTGTAGATCTTACGTATTGAATTTTTTAAAAAGTAGAGCGGATGCCTGTTCGGTAGGAAACACTGCGCAGGAAGTTGTTCTAGAGCAGGGGTGGGGAACCTTTTTTCTGCCAAGGGCCACTTGGATATTTATAACGTCATTCAGGGGCCATACAAAAATATCCACCTAAAAACTAGCTCTGAAAAAAGCTCCTAGGTTTATTGAATTTCGAGTCCCACCTGCTGTTGACTTGGCAGGACCAGACCAAGTGATGTTGAGGGCCACCTATGGCCCGCGGGCCCCCACCCGTCCCAGAGAGAAGAGACTGTGCCGAAGACGGCGGGTGTGTTCAAGNACGGGCCCGACGTCCCCCACCCGTCCCAGAGAGAAGAGACTGTGCCGAAGACGGCGGGTGTGTTCAAGGAACAAGTGTCATCACCCCGCTTGGCGGAGTAAAGGGTATTTTATGTCGCAAGAGCAGCAACTTGCATTTATATAACATTTACCCTTAATAAATCCCTCTCACAGACACCGGCTCTTTTAATTATCAACTTGGAAACAAGTAATCTTTCTTTTTTTAAAAAATATATCTTTATTGATTTCAGAGAGAGGAAAGGAGAGGAAGAGGGAGAGATAGAAACATCAATGATGAGAGTCATTGATCGGCTGCAGCCCGCAACCCGGGCCTGTGCCCTGACCGGGAATGGAACCCTGATCTCCAGGATCCTAGGTCGACGCTCAACCGCTGAGCCACGCCGGGCTGGGCTCTTTTTTTTTTTCTTTTTTCTTTTTTTTTTAATAGATGAGGAAACAGGCTCAGAAAGGTTAGGTGATATATATTTATTTATATTTTTTGTTAGAGAAAATGTTTAAGAAACATACAATAAATGGTGGTGGTTATCTCTGGAACGTGGGGCAAAAGGCGACTTTTTTGTTTGTTTGCTTAACTGTATTTTTCTGTGATTTCTGAAATGAATGTGTATTATTCATAACTCAAAAAGTGCCCAGCAGCGTGGCTCAGTGGTTGAGCATGGACCTAGGATCCGGGACATCGAGGTTCAATTCCCGATCAGAGCACAGGCCTGGGGTGCAGGCTCCTCGATCCCCAGTAGGGGGCAAGCAGGAGGCAGCCGATCAATGACTCAGCATTAATGTTTCTCTCTCCCTCTGCCTTCTGCTCTCTGAAATCAATAAAAACACACTAAAAGAAAAAAAAATGAATTAAAAAAGAAATAAAGCAGTGAGGGGAACGAAAGGGAGCAGGAAATAAAGTGACTTCCTCAAAAAAACAAATAATAAAGTTTTTGGATTCAGATCCTATACTCTATGTGCACCTACGACAAACAGAAAAAATAAAAGAAAGAAGGTAACGTATGGGGAGAGGGGGAAGTTCAACTTCAACGTTAAATAAATAAATACAAATGAAAACAATATGTAAAAATCCTGTCTCTTAAGTTAGCAACACTGTTTTTCTCAAGGGTGAGGGTGTGGGTGAGACGGGCGGTCATTTAGGGCCGGTGGCCTTGTAAACTGGTACAATTTGCTCAGAAAACGACTTAGCAGCGAGCGACAAGAGCTGTAAAAATGTTCACGCCCTGTAGGAATGACCTAAATTGTGGAAACATTTTTTTCCTGGGAGGGAAAAATAAAAGGTATTCACAGGAGCATTGCTGGTGTCGCGGGGCATCCGGCCACCAATGCGTGTGCCCCTCACACCGGCGCTTCTCTCTCTCTCTCTGAAAAGCAATGGAAAAAATACCGTCGGGTGACGGTTAAAAAGAAAAAGTGAGAACCAGCGCGGGCCTATCGTTTTCTGGACGCTTATTTACAAGTGTACGACGTGAGGGGAGGGCTTGCTTTTTAGCTGAAGGAAAAAATGAGAAAGTACGATGGAGAAAGAACAGGAGGGATTGGCCTGGCGGGTTCAGGCCCAGGCACTTGGGTTGTTCCCCCCCCCAGTTTTTTTTTTTTTTTTTTTTTTTT